GAGCATATGATTAGTTTTAGAATTCTTGTAGTGATTGTAGAGAAGGGAACAAACATTTTAAAAGTACCTGCTATGTGCCAGGCACTGGGCTAAGCACTTTACAAATATTTTATTTGGTCCTCAGAATAATCCTGTGAAGTAAGAGCTGTCACTATCTCCATTTTACGGTTGTGGAAACAGGCATACAGAGGTTAAGTGACTTGCTTAGGGTCACACAACTGGTAAGAGTCTGAGGCTGGATTTGAACATGGATCTTTCTCCAGGCCCAGAGCGGCCTCATGAATGTATCTGCCATCCCCTTTGTTCCATTGTTGGTGGCTATGTTTAGGAATTTCATGTGGGGACAAGGTAGGTTTAAACGTACTTAAATCAATTTATTTTTTTCACATCAGTCATGTTGTAAGGGAAGAATTAGAACTAATGGGAGGAAACATGAGGAAAAAGAAACAGAACAGAACAAGAAGAGTAGACAGTCTGCTTCGGTCTGCGTTCAGATGCCACGGTGGTTTTGATTTGCATTTCTTGAATCAACAGTGTTAAATCACTTTTAAAAATGGCAGTATATCCTTCTGTCTAAACAAATCATAGAAAATAAAAGTCAGGGACTGGGTGTGCATTTTTAAGCTTTTCATTTTCCTGTAGAAAACATGGAGGTTCTTTTGACTTTACATTTATGGTGTTAAACTAAATTTTGTTAAGGTTTTCAACTTGACAGTTCTTTCAGTTAACATTCTGGTAAGTTTCCAATGTAATTCATGTCATCACAGAAGTGGTACATATGAATAAGGTTGGTGATGAGTTGTAACTCATTTTCAAGTTATTCCTTATATACCTTGTTTTATCTTGAGCCTGCACATCTTAAAATAGTGTTTCTGGCTTGAGATGATAAAAATGGGAAAGCTACATTAGAAGTCACTTTCTAATAAATTTCACATACGTAAGAATAGAAAGACTTCTGAAATATGACATCCTACACTGTCATTTTTAGTCACCTATCTGTACAATTTCAAGCTGTCAAACTGATTAAAAAGTACATTTAAATTGATAAGTACTATTCTACAGTGGTTTGTTATTGGCCTAGGATTTCACTTTCGTTGTAAAAATAATAATTATGGCCACTGTCAGCTTTTCTGTGAACTAAAATGAAATTTTAAAAACATGGTTGTGTCTCAAAGAGTATATCAGATGTTGCAGAATCATAATAGGCACAGCTAACGTGAAGGGATTTCACATTTAGAATAAATGGATTTTAAAATGGTAAAAGGACATGAGTAGGCAGTTTTCTGAGGAAGAAATTAAAGCTATCTATAGTCATATGAAAAAGTGCTCTAAATCACTAAATGCAAATCAAAACAGCTCTGAGATAGCACATCACTATCAGAATGGCTGACATGACAAAACAGGACAATGAGAAATGCTGGAGAAGATGTGGGAAAATTGGAACACTAATGCATTGTTGGTGGAGTTGTGAAATGATCCAACCATTCTGGAGAGCAATTTGGAACTATGCCCAAAGGTCTATAAAACTGTGCATAATACCCTTTGACCCAGCAATACCACTCCTAGGTCTGTATCCCAAAGAGATCATAAAAATGGGAAAAGGACCCACATGTACAAAAATATATATAGCAGCTCTTTTTGTGGTGGCAAAGAATTGGAAATTGAGAGGATGCCCATCAATTTGAGAATGGCTGAACAAGTTGTGGTATATGAATGTAATGGAATACTATTGTGCTATAAGATTTGATGAACAGACAAACTTCAGAAAAACCTAGAAAGACTTACATGAACTGGTGCTGAGTGAAGTGAGCAGAACCAGGAGAATTGTACACAGTAACAGTAACATTGTGCAGTGACTAACTTTGATAGACTTAGCTACTCTCAGCAATGCAAGGATCTAAGACATCTCCAAGGTACTCATGATGGAAAATGCTGTCCACATCCAGAGAAAGAACTATGGAGTCTGAATGCAGATCGAATCATACTATTTGCTCTTTTTTTTTGACCTTTCTCATGGTTTCTCCCATTGCTTCTATTTCTTCCTTACAACATGATTAATGTGAAAATGTTTAATATGAATGTATATAACCCATGTCAGATTGCATGCTGTCTTGGGAAGGGAGGGGGAGAAAATGTAGAACTCAAAATCTTATAGAAACAAATGTTGAAAACTAAAACTAAAAAAAAAAAAGAAATGGATTTTAGATTTTTCTGACCCAAACTGGGAAAATAGGAATTCTTCATAAATAGGAAACTAGTTCTAAACAGTTTGCCTCAAGTAAGGCAAAATCAGAGGTATGGGAAATACCAAAAGAAATGTTGTATGAGTATGAATTGAATACTAAAGCTTTTTAAAATAAAATAGTTATTTTCCTTAGTGGCCACTCAGTTTTAGATTAGTCTTCCCCAAAGTCTGGAGTTCTCCATAGTACAAATGTATTCCTCTAAGCTTGATGCCCTGGTCATTTATTAGGCACTATCAATAAGCTAAATGCTTTCCATCAGCTTGACCTGACCTTGCCAATTGGGCTTGTATGTAAAATTAAAAACAGCTAAAATATAGGAAACAGAGACTGTGGAGATGGGGAGAAACCCGCTTGTAGGAACTGATTCAGACTGCACAACATTTTCAATAGGGTCAACTGTAAGCAACTGAAATTTTAGTATTTTTAACACATTTATAGAAGAGAGGCAACATGACATACTGGATAGAAGGCTAGCCTTAGAGTTAAGAAGACATGGCTTCAAATATTGCCTTGTGACACATACTAGTTTTGTCACCATGGGCAAGTCACTAATCGTTCAGTTGTCCAAGGCAACTCTCAAAAACTTTGCCTTTCTACACTGGGAGTTCACTATATTTATGAAATCATAGGTACAAACAAAAGAAAAAAAATAGTGATGTTCTACAGTAAGTTTAATATCAGAACTGGGTGTTGCACAAACACGGTCACTCTGCTTGGACATAACTTCTATGTAAATTGTCTTTTGACTTCTTTCCTTTTTGAGCAATAGAATATTACTTTTTTGTCACTGTTCAAGTCCTTTTTACTTTGTGTTTAAATAAATGTCATGCAGTTACCATTTTTCTGTGATTTTTAACATCTGTGCCTATTCTTGCTAATTTTGTAAGTGCTGCAATTGTCTCTGGGTTTGCTTTGTCACAGGGTAGATTAGCACTCTTCCTCTCACGTGTGATTTGGTAGTTCGGCCTTAGTTAGAAGACAAACACTAGATTGTTAACACAAAATGCAGTAGCATCAACGGCCCCCTTTATTGCTTCTGCAAAGTAAAAGTAAAATGTTTCAAGCTGAATGCACCATTGAGCAAATTAACTGTCCTGTCTTCCAGGCTTCATCAGATGTCATAATGGCCTAAAGTTTTGTCTTTCTGAACACTGACATAGCATGCTGTGCAGGCTTCTCAAACTCAGCACGTCTAAAACAACTCATCTACATCTCCAAACCTCCTCTCTCCTGAACTTCCTGATTTCTGTAGAGGAAACCACCATCTCTTCAGTTCCTCAGATTCACAGCTTCAAAGTTATCCTTAGCACCTCACTCTCCTTCATCATACAAATCAAACCAGTTGCCAAATTTGGTCTGTTCTAACTCTACTTACTACATCTCTTCCATCCATCCCTTTCTCTTCACTGCTGTGGCCATCACCCCAATTCAAGCCCTCATTACCTTTCAACTGGACTGTTGCCTCTTCCTTGGTTTCCATTCCTCAAGGCTCTGCCTTCTCCAAACCAAGGAAGAGGCAACAGCTGTTCTGCTGACAAGGCCAGCAAAGGCCTCATCTGAAGGGATTCTACCTATGGAGTTTTAGAGGTGGCAAAGATAAGGGAGATACCCAGTGAAAAGATGCAAAGTGGAGTCCTGAATGTGAAGAACCACACAAAGACTGGTTTGTCTGGACTGTAGTGGGCACAAAGGAGACGAATGTATAACACAGCTGGACAAGCTGACTGAGGTCTGGTTGTGAAGGGCTCTCGATGACAAGCAGGGAAGTTTGTATGTAAATGTGGAAGCAAGAAGATCATTCAGTATTATTGGAGATTCCTTTTAGGTGTGGATTTATGGCTCCAGAGGGCCCTTCTACCTCAAACTTCTGCAACAGCACAAGAGAGAACTGATAGGGAAGGGATGTGATCAGACCTGTGCTTTTAGGAAATTCACTGTCAGCATCTTCCTTGACCTATTTATTTATTTATATTTGGTTTTTGATAGGCAGTGGGGTTAAGCGACTTGCCCAGGGTCACATAGCTAGTGAGTGTTATGTGTCTGAGGCCGGATTTGAACTCAGGTCCTCGTGACTCCAGGGCTGGTGCTTTATCCACTGCGCCACCTAGCTGCCCCCTTCCTCGACCTATTAGTTTGTACTCATGTACTTTATACGTAACTTTTTTAAACAAGGTGTCCCAAAGCTGTCTTCTAAGCTGGCGTACTTGAATAATTAACAATTGCGTGAACACTTCTGGGACACCTCGTAGTTTACATGCTGTTCCCCACCCCAACAGAATGTAGTTTCTTGAGGGTAGATGACTTTTTCATTTTAGTCTTTGTATCCTGAGCATCATGTATAGTGACTGGAACATAGTAGGCACTTAATAAATATTTCTGATTGATTGATATGCTGAATGCATTGTTCTTATTGACTTTTCCACTTTTCTGGAATCAGAGGCCTTGGAAGCCAATTTCCAAAAAAATAAAAATAAAAATAGTTTCCTCCTTTTTTTTTTTTGAACAGTTGTAGACACAATGAGCAGCACATTAATTGGTTGTAACATTTCAACTTCCCCTGATATCAGTATGTAACATTTCCCAGTAGTTACCTGATGATGGTGGCAGTAGCTATGGCCATAGAGTAGAAGACAGAAGCCTGCGACAGGTCTAAGAGTGCCTGATCCTTTCACAGGAGTATGATTCTCCTGCAGTTATAATTGTCTTTGACAGACTATCAATACTTACCTTTCCCTCCCCACCCTCCCTTTACAGGATAAGAGTCGCATGTTCCGTGTACAGTTTGGAGGTGATTCTAAAGAAGAGGCCCTGGAAAACTGCTGCAGTTGTGTACAAAAGCTTGAACAGTACATAACAATCCAGGTTCCTGACGAGCTGAGCCAGGAGCTGCAGCCAGGCCCTAGCCAGCTGACAGCCACGGAAAGTCAAGTGAAGGACAGCGAGCAGAGTGGAATGCTGCATCATGGAGTAAGTGGGCTGCTCTCATGCTAACCCTGGAGGAAGCACTGAGATAGAAAGCTTCATAACAAAGTCAAGTTTAAGTGGGCTCATGGGATTACAGATCTTTAGCAGGAAGGGGGCTCTGAGACCATCTCATCCAACCCCCTCATTTGTCAGTTGAGGAAAAGGAGGCCTTGGGAGGTAAGTGACATGTGTAGGACCACAGAGATAGTAAGTGGCAATGCATCAGGGCCAGTGCTTTGTTCCATGAGAAATCTACCTCATCTAGAGGGCACAGAGAAAACAGGAATCAAGGGGCAGTTAGGTGGTACAGTGGATAGAGCTCTGGCCTTGGAGTAAGGAGGACCCAAGTTCAAATTTGGCCTCAGACACTTGACACTTACTAGCTGTGTGACCCTGGGCAAGTCACTTAACCCTGATTGCCTCACCAAAAAGAAAAGAAAAAAAAAAGGAATCAAAATCTCAGGCAAAGCCTGTTGGATAAATAACTGAACACCTCTCCTCCCCAGAGGGGTGGCTGCTGTGACTTTCAGGATCCTAAGGTAATAACCCTGTGGGTGACTACCCTCCTGAAAACTAGCTCACAAGCTCCCACCAGTGTGCTATCCCTTAACAGTCAGCTAGTAGACTCAGTTCTTTTGTGAAGGAATTTATTCAAATAGCTCTGCAGTAGAGGTAGTTACAAAGCAGTCCCCTCAATATCAGGGAATACTCTCCCACATAGATAAACCCAGAGTCCAAATGATGGAAGAATGGACACATAGTTAATGTCCAGCAGCAGTGAGGCACATGTGAGTACACAGGTGTCCAAAGCCACTAACAACTCCAGAAATGCAGGGCTTCAGTCTCTCGTCTCCTTCTGGAGGGTTCCTCGTTACCTTTGTTGTAGGGAATGGTGTCTGGGATGGATTCCTTGCTCTGCTTTTCAGTCAGCATGGTACCCGGTGGTGTGTGTGAACTGGTTGCTCAGTGGAGCTGCTCCTTATTGGGTATGGTGTCTCAGCTGGATTGAGCGAGCCATGTGGTGGCTGTGCTGGCTTCTCCCTCATGGCTGCTGGATAGGGCCAGCAGTTCACTGGTGCCAGCCAATGCCAGGCAGACCATATTGGTCCTAGAAGAAGGCGGCTAATGGAGAAGGCAGCTTGTTCTTCCTTAGGCAGCTAGTGTTTTTGTATAGTACTTTGGAGCACCTTCTGTGAGTGAGGGCAATGACCCTTAGCTTAGGATTGGCAGATTCCCTCAGAGATCCAGCTCTGAGATAGTTTGTCACCTCCAGGCAGAAGGGAGAAAACTTGCCTTCCTTAGTCAGCAGATTGTTCCAGGCAAGTGTCAGGAAGCCACTCCATATTGTCTTAGGGGGATTCGTTTCAATTCAGTCAGTTTCACCAGCCATCGTCCTTTGGGAAAGTTATGTAGCCAGTGGCTGGGGACACAGGCAGATGACAGTGTGGGCCCTGAAGATGGGTAATTAAGTTACTCAAGCCTCCCACCCTTTCTGGGGTGGAAAAAGTCAGTTTGCCTCTGGAGGCTCTTCCCGATTATTCTTCCATGTTTGTCTTTTAGCTCTTGCATACCCTCAGTGTCTGCTCATCTTGTTGGGGCACCTCTTACAAAAGGTTTTGAGCAGAAGTGGAACACAAACAGATGTGTGCCTGAGAAGTACTGTTCTGACAGCAGTGTGAAGAATGTGAAGGAGGGGGGAAGCCTGTGAGAAAGGTATGGGGCTAGTCTGGGAAGGCAGTGATCGGGGCCAGTGCTAGGAAAGTGGCTGTGGAAATAGATCCTGTGAGGGAGGAGGCCTGGACAGAAGGGGGCGGGGGAAGCAAGGTCACCGAGGTGGAGACGTGAGGGCCGTCCATTTACACAGTTGCCTCCCCATTAGAAGGTGAGCTCCTCCAAACAAACTTGGTTTTCACCTTTCTTTGTATCTCTTAGCACAGGGCCTTGCTTTAGAAACTCTTCTTGAGTCAGTTACTGAGTTCAGGGCCGTGGACTTCAATGGTGAAGTCAGGAGGAACAGGTAGGGTTTAAAAGCTAATGAGTTTGGTTTTGGCCGTGTTGACTTTGAGTAACAGGGGGACATCCTCATAGAGGTGTCATACAGGCAGTTGGAGAAACGGGGCTGGCCATGAATGAGAGAGATTTGGGCTCCATCTGCATTGAAGTAGTAGTTGAAACCCTGGGAGTGATTGAAATTTCCAAGAGAGAAAAAGAGAGAAGTCCAAAGTCAGAATGTTGTGGAAATCTACTTTAATGAGGATAACACAGAAAAGAAGAAGAGACATAGGAAGACCAAGTATGACCTTTCTGAAACTGGTGGAAAGGGTATCAGATTGTAGTACTGGCTAAGGGGAACATCTGCATTTGGTGATGCTGTGGTCCCTGATGATAATAGGGTCTGTAAAGTGGTGGAAGCTCAAGTACAAGGGACTGAAGAGAAAATGGGTAGTAAAGAAGTTGAGACATCAGGCATATTTTTTCCCCCAAGAAATTTAGCAGTGAAGCAGGGAAGAGAACTGAGAAGCCAGAATGCAAAGGGTTTAGGAGAATAAAAAAAAAATGAAGATAGCTGGTACAGATGGCTTCTTCAAGGAGTTTGACCACAAAAAGAGAGCTATAGGACAAAGAGTTCCTTAAATAGTGTCATTGAAGCCACAGGTCTGTATGCAACAACTCATTTTAACATTAGTAGAAAAGTAAAATGATGATAGCACTTTCTTTGATCTCTTTGGGATATAGGCTGAGATATCGTTGGGTCAGCAATTACAGCAGTACTGCAAAGTAAATTGGTTTGTGAAAAACATGCTTATGAAGTGCACTGTCTTAAAATTACAAGGGTCCTTGGGCAAAAAAAAAAAAAAAGAATCACACCCCCTCCCCCACAAAAATATGTTACTTGTTTTTGATCGAGAGAAGTGAAGTCATGCTGCTTCTGTCATCAGGTAACATTCCCCCCCCCCCCGGCCATTTCAGGCATGAACATCACACCATCCCCTTGTTTCCAGTAATTCTACTCCCTGTTCTTTTGATTAGTGTCTCTGACTCAGAGGTTGCATACAGATGTTCCTGAATGTTTTGTGGGCAGGGGAGTGACTTTTAGCCTTTCAGATACTGAGGCCTATCAAGTAGAGGTAATGATTCTTTGATACTAACCTCTAATACTCAGAGGGTTTCTAAGAAGTAAAATCTAGCTCAGTTAAACAGAGATCCACACTATTTGATTTAAAAGTTTCACTTCTGTAAATGGGTCTTAATATAATTATTAATAGTGTAATAGAGTCAACCTATATTTGATGTATTATCTTTCAGCATTTTGGACAATTGCATTTTTTCTTGGATGTTCAAATAAAAAACTGTAGCATTTTAAGAACATTCCATCCTTCTAATTTCATTTTTTAAAATGTATATTCTCTTTTATTCCAGTTACATCTGAATCTAAAACAGCATTATGCATCTTCCTACACCTTTCCAGAAGGAAGGATAACAATGACGCAGCTAGCACAGGTAGAACCAACTTTTGTGACCAATAATTGTACAAGACTTAGTGTTTTGTTTTGTTTTGCAAAAGCAAAATTAATTTATATTTCACTTTTGAGCTTCCTATATAGTAACACAAAAAAGTAAACTTGAAATCATGAGCAGGGAAGCTTAGAAATCAAAGGCAGAAGAGAATTAAGGGATCATTTTCTTTATCCTTGGTACAAGATTAGACAAGCTAGTACATGGTATAAGAAAATTGTTTTCACAAGTAAATAAAAATAGGAAGAACGATTTGATAGCAAGGGCCAGAAGCCTTTTAATGTGTGAGATAAAGAATCAGCCACCACTTCCCCAGGTGACTGAGGGGAATAGCCTCAATTTAATTTTGATAATGAATTTTGGAGCTATTTCAGAGAAAACACTGAAAACCAATTTGGGGGCAGAGGCAAATCAGCTACAGTTTTCAAAGATAAGTCTTCATTGCTAAGTGGCCTTCATTCTCACCAGCTCAGTATGGAAAAAGAGGCGGGAAATGTGAGAGAATTCAGTCTTGATGCAACAGACCTGCTTTCTCAACAGAGGCCTACCTGAAATGCTGCTTCGGTATGCTTTTTTTCTCCTTGTAGTTTTGTTTTTTACTTGAAGAGAATTTCTAGATTGTAGGTTCATTAATTCAGACATGAGCTTTTTGAACATTCGAAATAATAACAGCTTTCATTTTCAAAGCACTCAAATATCTAGCCAAAATTTGCAGGTTGAATTAATCTCATTTTTAATAAAGAAACTAGACCCCTGTTAAGCTGAGATTGGATGACCTCAGCCTGAGTATAACTCCAGTGACAGAAAATTCACTACATCAGAGGAATTCCATTCATTCCATATTCTTCACTTATTTCTACATTCGACGAATATTTTAAATCATTCCTTGGGTAGTGCTGGAGGAGGTGAATAGGAAAAGGGGAGGATTAGTTTAAAAAGGGCCATAGGAGGACTAATTCAATATTGCTGGTAATAGGAATTTACTTTCCCATTGGAATGTGTTAGTTTCTGTTAGAGTATGTGTGTATAGTTAGAGCTCCACAGGAAGAATGGATCTTCCTTTATTCGTACATTCCAGGTCTCTACTGCACTATGCTAAGTAAGCACTTTGGGGTTCCATAAATAGTGCATAGATATTACTACCTTTGGGCTACACACACAGGATGGGAAAAAAGGAAATAGATAACAAAGGTATAAAAAGGAAGATTCCTCAGAAGACATTGAGCTTGAAAGCTCTTGACTTTGGCTATTAAATTGATCCATCCTAACCCAGAGTACTCTTTTTTTGTGTGTGTGTCCTCATGGATCATCTGGGATATTCTAAACAAAACAGAACAGTCCTTTTGGTCAAGGAAGTAGGAGGATTCCCCCTCTTCTGGCCTCTTCCAGACTGGTTACCTTTGTTTATCAAAGAATTCCTTGGAATTTGGGCATTGAAATTTAAGCAAAACTATAAGCATCCCCCATCCTCATTTATTTCTGACTGCAATTCAAGAATGTTTCCATTTTTCAACCCTCTCCCCTCCTATAATGAAAACATTCTTTTTCCTCTAGCTCAAGCCTGCATCTCCCCAGCCCAAAGTGATCTCGCCTCAAGTCTGATGAATTCATGATTCATTTAGGCCAGTACTCCTGTAGATGCAACTTTTCAACACTTTACCCAGTCTCATTCATCCATATTTTCCCAGAAATTCTCTGTAGAACAGCTCTCCAATTGATGTTCTTTTAGCCATCACTGGATTCCAGTTATTTTATGATTTGTACTATTTGATCGTTACTCTCTCTTCTCAAAAAATCATAGGAAGTAAGAGGTCTCTTAAGTTATCAGAACAACAACTTTGTGACAGGAGTGTCAAGTGATAATGCATCAGGATGATGAGATGCTATTTACATAGTGCTTTAAAGTTTGTAAAAGATTCTAACAATCTCCTGTGGAGGTAGGAGTAGGTACTACAGGTTTTATTATCCTAATTTTATAGATGAGGATGTTGAGGTTTAGAGGTTTGGGGACTTGCTATCAAAGATAGGAAAATCTGTATCTCCAAGCCCAGTGTTCCATCCACTTCACCAAACAAACTGCATAAGCAGATGACAGAATCTGCTTATACAGTATTCTTTGGTAAATACTGTTTAAACATCCTGTTGTCTGCATAAGCAAGTGATCATTCCCAATTATGTTATTTACTGTGTGCTTTCATATATATCACCAGTGGGCACTATATAAGGTTTAACCTAGGAGTTCTTAACCTAGGGTCTAGAAATTTAAAAAAAAAATTCTGATAACCATATTTCAGTATAAAAGGTTTCTTTTGTAATGACACATATCTTATTTTATGACTTTAAAAAACATTATCCTGAGAAAAGTACCCCATTGGCTTTACCACACTGCCAGAGGGGTCTATTAAAAACAAAAAAAGGTTAAGCACCCCTCCCCTCCCCCAGTTTACTCTTTAATCCAATGCTATTTTAGGCTTTTTTAACATACAAGGAAATTGTGTTGTGATAGTAAATATTTTAAATGAATATTTATTTGAAGTACAGTCAGTTCTGCAATAATGTGACATGTGTTCCTAAAAATTACCCTGCAGCATCACTCAATAAAAACTGGGGTTAGCACAACACTCAGAAGCATTGTCAGTGACACGTAAAAAAGAGAGGAACCGAATAAAAACAGTAGCACAGTTTTATACATGTAAAATGGTTAAGAAATACACAAATATTACAATGAATAGTGGCAGTGTCCATGGCCTCAGGCTGCTGTTCGATGCCCCAGCTCCCACAGGGCCTGGATTGGCAAAGTCAAGTCACTGCTGGAGAGAGGGTGGCCTTGGTGAGCAGAAATTCCCGGGGTCATGCTGGAAGATGGGGTAAAGGATAGGGTTGGACCAGCCTTCCTCAGCCCACAGCTCCTTCTGCACCAGAAGATACACAATAAATATAGCACTTGACCTTGAAAAAGACCTGAAGTTTATTTGTGGAAGTGGTGTAGTTTTCTGTGTTCTCTTGCTGTTTCTCATTGATGAAATAGCTTACAAGCAAACACAAAATTCATGTTATGCTGAAATTGTTCCCTAACATACCAATCACATTGGAACAAATTAGTTTGCAGAACAAGTGTTAGAGAAGAACTGACTGTATGCTTTTATAGATGGATATGCCTTTTATGCATTTAAACTCAGAATGTTACATAGTCTGTTGCTTAAAAAGGTCAAAGAACTACAACACTGGACTAGGTGGTTTCTAAGGGCCTACTTTTAAGCCTTGTTTTCTTACAGGTGAGGAAACTGAGGCCAGGGAAGTCAAGAACTTTACCCAAGGTCACACAGCTAGTAAACAGCAAAGTCAGGATTCAACCCAAATCTCCTGACATCATAGTCACATGTTATCCTTCAACCTCTGAATGTGGCACAGGCACTTTAGAAAAGGTCATTCACTGTAGTCTCTTCTTGGCAAAACATTTGGCTCATTAATATGGAATACCTTGATTTAAAAAGGACAGATTATGAAATGTATTCCATCAGATGGTTATGTGAAGCTTCCAATACAAGGCTCCCTTTTTCTGTTGTTAGTAGTCACCTCTGTTTAGTTCAGAGAACCATCCATGCAGGTAACTCAAGAAAGGCATGGGCTCTGTATGAGTCACACTCTTAACTTCATTGTCCAGTAAGCTTGCCTTGTTCTGTCTTTGCAGTCTATCCTGACATCAGCAGAACTACCACTTGCCTACAAGCAAGCTGCATGGAATGCAGAAGAGTTAGGTCCCTTCCTGAAGTTGTGCCTTATGGATCAGAATTTCCCAGCCTTTGTTGAAGACGTAGAGAAGGAACTGAAGAAGCTGACAGGGCTGGCGAGTTAATATTGTCTACATTAATAAATAGCTATCTTATTGATAAAATACTTTCTCCCAAAGTTAGTGGAATAAAAATTGTTGTTTCAACATCTTTCTTTTATCAGTGTTTTATTTTTAAAAACATGTGAATCCACTTTTTTTATACATCATTGCACTTCAACAAATACACAGAACACAAGTTCATGCATTGACAGCTCTGCACCGAATGAGAACCTTGTCAGGTTGTAATTCTACAATCAACTGTTAAATCAAGACAGGAAATTACAGTGTCCAACTGAAAAGTATAATTAGTTGCATAGAATATTACCATGCTATATAACACTTTTAAGATCATTGAAAGCAAAAAAGTAAATTATAAAAGTCTGCCTGAATTAAATGTACAAAGAACATGGTTCACATCAGTGCAAAAGGAATTTAAGAATTTACATGATTTAACAACAACAAAATCACTTAAAAAGCAATTATACACACACACACACACACACACACACACACATATATATATATGCATATATATGTAGTATTTACTGCAATTCATCATAACTGCTCATTAGACTGGCCCAGTATCTCATTAAAGTCTTAGGTGAAGCCCTTAAGATTATAAATTTCAGTTTATATTACTCCTCTAAGTACCAGAACAGTATAATTCTCTCATCTGACAACATACAATAAGGAATGAATATCAGCAGCTTAAAAAGGAATCAAGCGTTTACTGTATTTTGGTTTTCCCCACCCCCAAAAATATAAATATATATAATATATATATATATACTGTATATATTTTTAGGTTTGCTGTATTTTACAAAAATGGATCACTAGATGGCAGCAGTGCAATTTAGAGCTTTGCCAATGTAATAGCTGCATTAAGTAAAAAATGGCGCATGCACGAGCTGATCCTCACAGGACCTTTCTTACTTCTATTTAAATATTTTCACAAAGGAAAAATGCAACATTCACAGCACATCAAGCCCCAAATAGTTTACACCTTCTACACTGAAGCATTGTTTAAAATGTATCTGGCTAGGCCATCCTTACAAGAGAGGCTAAATAAGGCATGCTTTAGACAGTCTCGCATTGTTGCTCACTTGAAAAATCAGGAGAGAAAAAGAAAAAAAAATCAAATACAGCTGGAGCTATGGAACCAAAGAGGTCCAGGCATAAAATTTAGCAGGTCATGTTGCCACCAGTCTCAGGAAACTAAAGCTCTGTGAAGAAACAAAGGATTTGACATTTTAAAAGGAGATTGCTTTAGCCATCAGTACCTTAGTAGGCAGGACGGGGTGGACACTGAACAAAACTCAGGGACAAACAACATGCTCAGGGATGTGGTGTGAAATTCTGATCTCCATGTGCCAAAGGAGAGAGAATTCTGGCACATCTGCTTATCCAGATGCTGTGGTATTAGGGAGGACTTAGCAAACAAGTGTGAGTTGGTGGCCTCCAAGAATAATCCAGCCTGAGAATGTTACTAATTTTTAGCCATTTTCAATTCCTTGATAAGTGAGTAGTGCCCCAAAATGTTGGCTTTAAAACCTCAAATGTTAATTGGAATGATGCATGCAAATATGGGCCTCTACTCAGTTGGAAAGTGTTCCTTCTCAATCACCAAGAGAGATAGAACATTGTCTGCAATCCTGAAACTCTTTCAACTGTATCCCCACCATCAACTTTTAGAACAAAGGTCAACAGATGTCAGTTCATTTGAATGTAACTTTGTAAATGTCTGAGGAAGGCCATACTTACATTGTAAGCAGTACTTAATTTGTGTTTCTCTGGCGCAAGTTTTTATCTTTGTGATTGTTGGTGGAGTTGGTTTTCCTTTGGAGGAAAAATTGCATCATGAGAGTTAAATTCAGTCAGTAGGAATTTTTGAAAATTTTAAACACATGGAAATACAGGGAACCTTTCACTTAACTGCCATCCCTGGTGTAGTAAGAAGTTTTACTGCACAGAACTAATATATGAATGTTTTCTATCAGGAATGCTTCTTGTAAGCCACTCTATTTCATTTGGCAGACCTTTTGACTCCCAAGTCAGCATACAGCCATCTTTCACTTTGTTGCATAGTGAACTGTAAACTAACTCAAAGAGAATCTTTCTAATTGCAAAATTTTACAAGTGTTCTTAACATTCCCTTATAGACTTAGTTTAAGAAAAAAAACTTTTAGGGTAGAGAGCAGGGAGAGGAGGGTTTCCTGTCTACCTTTTCCCTTCCCCTACTTCCTAGGCACTCTATCCTCCGGCCATAAAACATCCCTTGATTTTGCAATTGCAGCAGCCTTTCTCCCTGAGGTCTACACTGGCAAGTGAGTTGAGCCATATTATCACTAACCAGGACTCACGTTATTTATTCCAGTCTAAAAATAAGAATCATAAAATTTTGAAGCTGGAAAGGGGGGTAGGGTGGGGAGGACGCCTTAGAGATCCAGTGCCTTCCCTTCCATTTAAAGATGAAAGAGACTCAGAATCGTGTGTGATAGTTTCCATTGTTACCAATTTGAAATTTTGTAGTACATTAAGTTTACCTAAAATGAACTGTATCATTTAAAAAATATTAACCATACTGCATATCCTGAGAATCAAAAGATCATCTATGTGGCCACTGTTTAATACACTACAACATTCACTTCCCTCTTCTTATAACCCCTGCTGTTCCAATTTACCCCACTTTATTTCACTGCAAATCCAAAAGAATTCAATTCCATTCTATCAGATAATTACTAAAGCAATCACTGGAGAAGGTACTTACATTGGCCCAGCTGGTTCATCATCTGCAGTAGGTATTTCAGTTCAAATTTCATTGAAAGAGAAGGGAAGAAGAGAGACAGCGGAGTTAAGAGTCTGTAGAGAACTTTTACCTGGACCGATAATTGCAAGTGGCAAACTCGTCTATCCATAGCATTTATTAAAAGGCCATTCCACTTGGTAGTGCAAAAGACTCATGGAGTTATTTTTCTGATTTCAAGTTTTTAATGGCAGGTATGTTGTTTCAATGATTTTAGTTAACACTTTGAATGCTTGTCATGAAAAACTGCAACTGTAGTGGACAGATAGCAGCAATATCGATTATACTCATCTTGTCCCCAAGTTCCAGTGGTTCACTCTTAAATAGATGAGAAGACAAACCAACATTTCTGTTGTAAAATCCTGCTGTTTGTTTTCTTGAAATGATTGCAGTTTGGAGTCAGTCTTCCAATATGGATGGCCTTGTATGTTCTCTATGGTTACAAACAAATCTTTGCCTCCCCCAAGGGACAGTTCTTTTTCTCTGTGTTTGCAATTATACAGGGCATTATTAAAGTGGAGAACAAATGAGGTGGTGGACTAGGAAGCCACAACAGTGAAGTGTGACACTGGATAATAAATGCTGCCCTTGGCCAGCAGTGGGTAACATGCACCTTTAAAAATGAAAGTCAAATGGTAGTGTCCTCCCTCTACAGAAAAGGCATGAGAACCTGTGCTCTGCCTGCATCCTGGCCAAAACTAGAGGTTTTTCAAAAAGAATTCAGTCATCTGAGTTTAGATGCCTTCTCAAAAATTTACAAGATCCAATTGGCATTTGATAATTACTATTTAGGTTGTTTTTGTTTCCTTGCACCCATTAAGGGTGACCAAAACGCTTCTAAGCAGAGATGTAAAGAAATCCACAAAGGGGAGGGAACATTTATACAAGCTTTTCTATTGGATGTTCCATTTTACACAGGTAAAATCAGATGGATTAAATCAAACAACCATTTGGCTTCACTCAAGTCAAACTCTCAGCAGGATTCCACAAGGGGCTCGGTGCACATGAAGCAGGTATGGAAATTACAGTCTCAGTGTAGGCATCTGCATGAGCACACACCAGGAGGAATGTCTGTCAGAAGGAGACATTGCTCCACCTGTACCTTTGAGGCAACGGAGAGGCAAAGCTACCGCCAGCACACACAGTGACCGGAGCAAAGAAATATTTCAAAAAATAAAGAACCGACCACAGACCAACAAGTCGGCAGCCAAACAACAGGCTAGCGACACCCCCAGTATCCACAGGAGTCCATCACTAGCAACATTACACTCACTATCCAAAAACGGGAACAGAGAAAAAAACCAGGACAACCGAGACATCCATGTGCTGCATATGCGGTGGGGATATACAGAGACACACTAAGTACTGAGACAGAAAGCACAGACTGAGTCCTCCCCTCACAAACATCTTTCGGTTCCCACCATCATGTCCAAGCCAAAAATGCTACATGCTAGGAACGAGGCACTACTGAAACTTGTGAATGGAGAACAAGACACCAGCAAGTTAATTACTGTCTTCAGTGAATGCTCTGGTGGGGCCATCGAAAAACCCCGATTCTAGCACAAGACTTAAGAACATCAGCACTCTGGCTAGCGAACTGTAAAGCAAACAAGAAAGACAAAACAAAAACAGTGTCGCCTGGCTAATGTTTCGAAGCCTGGCAGTCACTGCCCTGAGAGCTTCCCCTCACTATGACAAAGCATGATTCTCGGTCTAAGTTTAATGATGCCATTCTGTAGCTGAACAGGCTTCTAACGTGCAAAGGGCTGCATGTAGGTAGGTGTTTTAGCAATGATGAAGCAGTGTGGGTGCCATGCCTGTGAGTGGGAGCAGTAATGTTATTCATTCTAGCTTCTAAACCTGATGAACTCCTCCCCTGCCTCCCCCAAAGTTCACTTGCATATTCTTTTCTAGAAGTTCAAAAGAACAAAGGAAAAAAGCGTTGCATTTCTACCCTGCTGGTCTGAACCACTAACTGCAGCCAACATACCCACAGTACAGTACGGACAAAAAAGGGACTCAACCCCTAATGAGAAATTCAGGGGACAGGGAAGAAAACAGAAATATACAGTGGGGGTTGGGGGTAGGGGGGCAGAGAGGTAGGGAAGGGGAAGGGATGGGGAGGGGGAAGGTACAGAAATTAAAAAAAAAAAGATTAAACAGCAAACTGAAATCCAAATTAGTTGTGAACGTGAATGAGGTAAACTTGAAGAAAAGTGTTAACATCATGAACTGTGCATTGTATAGACTGAAGCGGAGAGTAAACAAACTCCAAAGCATGCAGATCGCTCACTTACCACCATTTTTAAGGGTATGATGCAATTGAGGGGGGAAAAAAAAGAAGTCATAGTAACCGACAAATATCAACATCACCCCAAACCCTTGGGCTTATTTATGACTGTTCTTTCACACTCACTATTACTTGCTGCCAGTGGTCAGATGCAAGTACTGGGGAGCACGGAAACAATGTGTGTGTATTCTATTCTACTTTGATATGTCAAAGTGAAATCCTGGGTAGGACTGCTGAAAACTATGATTCATCTTGAATGTGCAG